CAAGGGACATGTGTTAAGCTGAAGGGCCAGTGGCTGAAGTGGACCCGCCCCCTGACAGCTGCAATCGAGCCCTGGCCTCTTTCCCTGACAGTGTGCCCGGCACAGTGAGCTGGGGTAGGTCCTTTCGCTGAAAAATTTCCATCAGGGTTAGTTGGGAGATGGTGGCACCTGTAGGTGTCAAGAAGACAGTTTCTGCCATTGCTCTTGGACTCAAGTACCACAAGGGTGCTGCCAGGCCACGCCGAGATGTTCTGGGCATCCTTGGTGACCTCGAGGTCACCTCACTTCCCTCATCCTGTGGGCCATGATGGTACGTGGCAGAGCTGAGGGAAGACTCTGGTGAGGGCCAGGCCTGTTCCAGCATGTCCTGTGTGTCCTCCCCTTCCTGTGCTGCAGTCCTCAGTCATACGCTAAGCCTTTCTCATTCCTCATCCCCCATCAGGCTTCCCTGCCTGGGCTCAGCATCTCTGGGTGTGTAATAAATCATCCCACAATGAATAGATCTTAGCTTGCATAGTTTATTGGCCCAAAAACTTGGGAGGAGCTTTGCCGGGTGGCTCTGTCTCAAGGATTCTCGAGAGATTGCACACAAGTCATCTGCTGGAGCCACGGTCTTATCTGAAGTCTTGACTGGGCCAGAGGATTAGCTTCCAAGCTGGTCTGCTCACATGCTTGCGAGTTATTGCTGGCTGTTGGGAGGAGGCCTTGGGTCCTGACATGGGGGTCTCTCTAGAGGGCTGCTGCATGACCTTATGACAAGGCGGCTGGCTTTCCTCCGTGTGAGTGATCCAAGAGTCCCTGATGGGAGAAGCTGCAAAGTCACGTTGCACAGAGGTGTGGGCGGGCTGTGGCACTGCTGTTTCTCCCACACACGGGAGGGAAAGCAGGGGCTGCAGTGGCTTCGATGGGGAGCCTCAGAGCCACATGCTTTCTTTCCCGTAATGCCCTGCTGGTTGCTCTATGAGGCCCTGCTCAGCACGGAAGGGATTTATCACGGTGTGAGAGCCAGGAGGTGAGATTGTTGGGGCCATCTACAGGGCTGCCAAGCTCGCTTCTCACGGTTGTGCTTTTTGTAGGTGAAAGCCAGTTCATCCGACCCACATATTCAGGTGATCGTCTGACAGAAGCTGAAGAGCTCAAGACACATTCCCCGAGCACTCATCATGAGCCAGACACTGCCAGAGCTCTGGGATGACACAGTCAGTGTGTGCGACTCTCAGTGAACCCTCGGGTGCGTGGGCAACGTGACTGTCTTTTCTGCATGTTTCCATTCAGCTGAGTGGAAGAAACGTATGCTCAGTCAGTTCTGGACTTCGTGCCCCATTTCCCTGGGGTCGTGTCACAGACAGGGCATGTGCAGCTCTGCCTGGAAAGCACAGAGGCAGGACCGTGTGACCGGTTTCAAGCAGAGGTTGCGTGGATAAGAAGCAGAGCTTTGCATCGACTTTGTAACACTGCACAGCGAGCCAGCTGAGTTAGAGGCTTAAGCCAGCATCCGCCTCCCGGTATCTGTGGGCAGTGTCTGAGCCGCTCCCTGGACCCCCGCTCAGGCTGCAGTCCAGGCGTCTGTGGGCTGCTCCCCTGCCTCTGCCGACAGGACCTGCCTCCTCGTGCACTCCCGAGGCTACTGGTGAGCTGGCTGCTGGCCTCTCTGTAGGGCAGCTCTCACTGCCACAGCTGCTCCTTCAGGGCAATAAAGGATAAAAACCAGGGGCAGGGTCAAGACGTAAGTCACAGGCTTCTAGAACCTTGCCTGGGAAGTGACACCCATCACCTTTGCTGCGTCCTCTTCACCAGAAGTGCGCCACTGGGCTCCGCCCACATTCGGGGTGAAGGATCAGGCATGGATGCAGGTGGAGGGGCGGGCACCATGAACCTGCCCTGCCCAGGCTGGCACGTGCATCCCAGGAGTGTTGTATGAGGGTGGGCGACATGGAAAACATGCACAGCTCATGTGACTATGAAAGGAATGACTATTTTGTTTTTGAGACAGGGTCTCACTCTGTTGCCCAGGCAGGAGAGCAGTGGTGCAATCACAGCTCACTGTAGCCTTGAACTCCTGGTCTCAAGCAGTCCTCCCACCTCAGCCTCCCAAGTAGCTGGGAATACAGGTGTGTGTCACCATGCTTGGCTAATTAAATTTTTTTTTTCAGAGATGGGGACTCACTGTGTTGTCCAGCTTGGTCTCAAACCCCTGGGCTCAAGAGATCCTCCCACCTCAGCCTCCCAAGATGCTGGGATTATAGGCACGGCCCATTGTGCCCAGCCTTAGAATGATGAGTTTTAAGTATTTACCTAATTAAAGGGACAGCGTTAAGGAAACCACTAGCCTCTTATAGCTGGAGCCGGAAGACAAGCCCCGAGCGCTGCCCTGTGCTTCTGTTGGGGCATCGCACAGCCTGTCGCCCGCTCGGGTGGGTGGTGGGTGGCCTGCTGTTAGCAGAGCCAGCAAGCTCCCACTGGAATGGGGTGTGGAAGAAGAGGTGGGAGGTGGTTGCGTCTGACGAATGAACATCAGGTCCCCACATCAGGTTCCCCAACATCAGGTCCCCACCCAGTGAGGGAACCCCCCTCCAGCCAGGGAGCCAGCCCCTCCAGCATTGCCGGCTGATCTCCTCGCCTGCTGGGAGCCCGGGAGGCCATGGATGGTGGCATTATTCTGAGGACGCTCCAGCCCTTTTCGTGAGAATCCTCATGTCTTGGGAGGACCAAGGCCGGGGTGCCGAAGCCCTTACGGAGCTCCAAGAACAGCCTCACGTTTGGCTCAGGCCGCTGCTCCGGGACCACCTCCCTGCCTGCTCTTGTTCTCCTCCCACCACGGATTGGTCCACAGGATGTCTGCTGCCACCATGGAAGGTTCTGCAGCTGTGCAGCCCAGCCTGTAGGTGGCACCACTGCTGTATGTGGCTGATGTCCACAGGGTGGACAGGGTATCCAACATTTCAACTTCACTGAATTAAATTAATTTTAGCGTTAGAGAAGCACTGAATTTAGCATAGTGAGTGTCTGCCATGTCGGATGGGGCAGCTAGCTGTCAGAGCCCTGGGCCCACGTCGGATGGGGCAGCTGGCTGGCAGAGCCCTGTGCCCATGTCGGATGGGGCAGCAAGCTGGCAGAGTCCTGGGCCCATGTCGGATGGGGCAGCAAGCTGGCAGAGCCCTGTGCCCATGTCGGATGGGGCAGCAAGCTGGCTGAGCCCGGGGCCCATGTCGGATGGGGCAGCAAGCTGGCAGAGTCCTGGGCCCATGTCGGATGGGGCAGCAAGCTGGCAGAGTCCTGGGCCCATGTCGGATGGGGCAGCAAGCTGGCAGAGTCCTGGGCCCATGTCGAATGGGGCAGCAAGCTGGCAGAGTCCTGGGCCCATGTCGGATGGGGCAGCTAGCTGGCTGAGCCTGGGGCCCATGTCGGATGGGGCAGCTAGCTGGCAGAGTCCTGGGCCCATGTCGGATGGGGCAGCAAGCTGGCAGAGTCCTGGGCCCATGTCGAATGGGGCAGCAAGCTGGCAGAGTCCTGGGCCCATGTCGGATGGGGCAGCTAGCTGGCTGAGCCTGGGGCCCATGTCGGATGGGGCAGCTAGCTGGCAGAGTCCTGGGCCCAACGTCTGGCCACAGTCCGGCAGCCCCAGCATCATCCTGGTACTCAGGGAAATCTCAAGCCTCAGGCTGCATCTCAGGATCTGCAGCCTCAGAATCCAAGCTTTAACCAGCTCCTGGGCAATTTGGAAGCACATTCGCAGCAGGAGCCAGCTCGGTGTGGAGGGTGGGGGTCAGGGTGGCTTCTTCCCTGTGTTTATCTGTCTGTGCCACGGCCTAGGCTTAGCGAAATCACAGAATAAAAACAGGCCCTTCTGTTCTCTGCACTGTGATCGGAGGCAGCCAGCGGGCACCTAGCCGCTGCTGTGGGAAAGTCACAGGTACAGAACTGCCAGGGATGAAGCCACATGCGTTAATTTATTAAAATACAGTCAGCTACGGAAGGAAGCATAGGATGTGGTTTTGATGTTAAAGAATTTCATCTGGATAGGGAGACGGATGTGTAAACACAGACTCGAAGGTCAGGGGAACTGAGATCAGAGAACAGACGCTGGACACGTCCTCACTATGGCCCGGGTGGTGTGGGCATGGCAGGGCTCAGAGGCCGGGGTTGGGGTGGGGTTCCCAGAGGTGGCCTTGAGCTGGCCTTTCAGACGGCTTTGCTTTCCTCAAGGAAAGATGGAGTTCAGGAGGAGAAGGCCCGGTCAGGCCCTGGGGAACGGAAACCCAGGGAGGAAAAAGGGAGTGTGTGGGTGGTGGACCTTCCTGGGACGCAGGAGCGTGTGGGCGGTGGACCTCCCTGGGATGCAGGAGCGTGTGGGCGGTGGACCTCCCTGGCACGCAGATTGTCTTTCTGGAGCCCCGAAGGCCCATGTGTGCTGTCTGCAGTGCCGATGTTCTGGTTCTGGCTCAGCCCCTCCCTGCGCAGGAGAACTCAGTGGCTTTCCTGTCTTCAGGGCCTCCCCTGATTCCCCTGCAGAGTGGAGAGCTGGCCGCAGGGTGGCTGTGTTGAAGCAGGGCAGTCACGTCTGTGACCGTGCATCCAAGCTGGGCTCAGAAGTTTCTTTTTCCATGGAAAATTCTACCGTAGACTATGGGGCCTGTGACGGCGGGAGGCGTGCGTTCATTTTGTGTGCCATGGGCTTAGTGTCCGCTTGGCAAGGGGCCCTTTCTCAAGCGTTTGTGGGCTTCTTCAAATTCCATGAAGGTGTTGTGTGCATTTGCTTTTTCTGGGACTGAGGGGCCGTAGCCTTCTTCACCCTCCCCCGAGGGTCCCCGTCTTCTCTGGCAGGTCAGGACCCACTCCTGGGTGTGCTCAGTGTTTCAGTTAATAATGATTAGTGAGTAGGTGACATCTAGAGAGAAAACTTTAACTCAGGGTACTGACCGACCTGGGAAGGTGGGGATTTCAGGCGCAGGCCAGTGTCCTGGGGCAGCTTTGTTAGGGGCAGTGACAGGCCCTGGGACACGTGGGGACCGGGTCTGGCTCCAGGCCTTGTGTAAGGGTCTTGCTGAGGCCTATGTGGCTTCTCTGGGGAGGGGCTGCTCCCCTTCTCGCTTCCATCTCTCTGCAGCCCTTGTGACATCATACAGGCACAGCCAATCTCTGGGAAGTTCTTTCCCTACCTCAGGCCCCTATACTTCTCTCTGAGCTGGCACTCAAGCACCATGAGATGTTGGCTGGCTTCTGGGGAGCAAGAAATCCATTTCTAAATACTGGATTTCTGACTCCTTGGTGAGCTGGAGTGTGGTTTATAAATACCTTGCTATCTTTAAGGTTGGCACTGCTGAGAGAGCAGGGTGACAGAGATGAATTCCAGTAACACAGCCAACGTTGGATGCCTGGAAGGTAAGAGTGGGCAGGTGGCGGCTGGGTGTTGTGGAACCGTGTTGGCATCAGACCTGGAGGGGTGGCAGACCCCAGTGGGTGCTGTGGAACCGTGTTGGCATCAGACCTGGAGGGGTGGCAGACCCCAGTGGGTTCTGTGGAACTGTGTTGGTATCAGACCTGGAGGGGTGGCAGACCCCAGTGGGTGCTGTGGAACTGTGTTGGTATCAGACCTGGAGGGGTGGCAGACCCCACTGGGTGCTGTGGAACTGTGTTGGTATCAGACCTGGAGGGGTGGCAGACCCCACTGGGTGCTGTGGAACTGTGTTGGCATCAGACCTGGAGGGGTGGCAGACCCCACTGGGTGTTGTGGAACCGTGTTGGCATCAGACCTGGAGGGGTGGCAGACCCCACTGGGTGCTGTGGAACTGTGTTGGTATCTGGCGTAGCCCAGGTACATGGAGGGGCCCCAGAGGCGGGTCAGGCTTCTGGGCTCTGGTCTCTGATCTGCTTGGTTTTAAGTCATGTGACTCTGGTCTTTTTAAAAAAAAGTCTAAAGAGGCCTGGCATGGTGGCTCATGCCTATAATCCCAGCGCTTTGGGAGGATGAGGCAGGTGGATTGCTTGAGCAGAGGAGTTCTGGCCAGCCTGGGCAACACGGTAAGACCCCATTTCTACCACAAAGACCACACAATAGCTGGGCATGGTGGCGCATGCCTGTGATCCTAGCTACTTTGGAGGCTTGAGCCCAGGATGGGGTGAGGGTGGAGGTTGCAACGAGCCACGATCACACCACTGCTCTCCAGCCTGGATGACAGAGTGAGACCCTGTCTCAGAAAAACAAGCAAACAGAAAAAGCTGAAGAACTAAGGCCGTGGTGAAGTAAACCGCCTGGATTCAAAAGCAGAGTCACAAAGTAGAGCTAAATGTAAACGTGCATGCCGGCTGCCGGCTGCCAGGGCCTCGTGCAGTTGGCCACCGGCTCCTGGGGTCCCTGCTCAAGGTCGCTCTGTGGTCTAGACTTTGACCTTTAACCTTCTCTGAGGGGCGGGTGTTAGGGCCTGTGCCGTGGCTGGAGGCCTACCTTTGAGCATCGTCTCTTCTTTCTCACAGTTTTTAATCTTAGGGGTGGGGACACTTTTCGCATAGCAGCTTTCGAGATCGTGGGGTGCTGTGGTTTGGATGTTCCTCCCCCCCAGCCTCACGGTGAAATCTAATCCCGTGTCGGACGTGGGGCCGAGCGGGAGGACTCTGGGCCATGGGCCGGGTCACTCATGAGCGGCTCAGTGGTTCTGGAGGTGGCGAGTGAGTGGGTTCTTGCTGTTAGTCCTGTGAGAGCTGCTTGTTAGGAAGAGCCTGGCGCCCCTCCTCGCTTCCTCTCCCGCCCTGTGGTGTCTGCACGCCGGCTCCGCTCACCTCCCACCACCAGTGGAAGCAGCCTGAGGCCCCCACTGGAAGCACGTGCTGGCTCCACGCTTTCCGAACGGCCCTCAGAAGCGTTTCTTTATGAATTGTCCAGCCTCAGGCAATTTTACGCCTTCATAGCAACACAAATAGGCTAAGACATTGGGAGAACACAGATAATACATTTTCCAATATTTGGGGAGGTGCTGCTGTTTCACTGTTTTTCCATAGTAAAGTGAGAGGGGCTGTGGTTTCAGGCAGCACGACCTGGGGTCTGACTCATCTGCGTTCACAGCCCATCCCGTTCCCTATTCATTAGCTGTATAACATTGGGCGAGAGCCTCCATCCCGTCTCTGGGCTTCTTAGCAATGGGTATAATTATATGCGACTCCAAGACTTGGGGTCCGGGAGATGCGAGAACAAAGAGGGCGCTATAGAGATGATGCTTAGAGATGTCGGTTCCCGTCCTCCTGCTCCCAGCTCATTGCGCACATATGTTTTGAAAACCATGCCAGGGATCTGACCTTAATGCACCCAAGGCAGAAAAGCCTCAAGTTGGGGTGCAGGGAAGGCTTTAACTGAGCTTGGCATGTGGGGGCTGCTCCTGGGCTGCATCTGCCGGGAAACAAGAGATGCTTGATGTTCTTGGGGAAATGCTTAGGGCCCAGAGCATCTGCTGGAGGGAAAAGAATGAGCATTCCCAGAGAAACCGACCAGCGCGTGGGCCCTTCCCTGGGATTCGGGTTAAGTGTCCCGGGCTTGTGAAACGCACACAAAAGATGCAAGTCTTTGGCTTCGGGAGGCTGTGAAGAGTCGTTGCCCCGCTCAGCCTAACCGTCTTAGCAGCTCTCCGACGATGCCTGCCACTCTGGTAGCGACGGATAACTCTTCCTGGTTGTGGGGAAGTGTGGATGAAAAGCTCCAGGTGTGTATTATAGTTTCATGTTGCTGTTGTCACAGGTCCCTAGTGTCTTACAGAATGCAGATTCCTCGTCTCATGGCCTGTTTGGTGGACCTCCAGGTGGGCTTCTCGGATCCCTCTGCCCTGGGTCTCCTGAGGCTGAACTCAAATACAGGTGGGCTGGTTCCCCTCAGAGGCTCTGGGCTCATCCTCATGGGCTCGCTGAGATTGTTGGCAGAATCCAGCTCCTCGAGCTGCTGGGACTGAGGTCCCCTCTCTTGCTGGCCCATGTGGGGCTCATGCCAGTACCTCGTGGGGGTGTCTCTCTTAGTTAAAGGTCTGCCTTTCTGGCCTAAAGACGAAGTAGTTGAAACGGTTATGAGTGGCCACAGAGAAAATGGGGCTGAATTTTATACCCCCGCCTCCACTTTACCACCCCTGCTGCTTCTGTTAAACGGAAGCACTTTATTAAATGGGGGGTGAATGTGTCTTTGAAACTTATCTCCGTAGGATTTTACACGGGTCTGTTTGTTTTGCTTTTATCTCAAGGTAACACATTTTAAAGACATTTGAGTAGCAGGGTCTTCACTGCAAATGGAGCTTGGTCAAAAGAATAAAAAAAAGAGTTGAAGGAACTATTTCTTGGAAGCTGCCGAAAGGTCCCTTTCTAACTCCTGTTCTCTAGAGAAGCTTACAGCATGGGGCCAGTGAGCGGACGTCGACTTGTGGAAGGCTAAGGACAAAGGCCGTGGAGAATTTCTCACCCCAAATTAGATTCATTTCTGCCAAGGAAGACAGTTGTTTCTGGCTGGGTGTGGTGACTCACACCTGTAATCCCAGCATTTTGGGAGGTCCAGGTGGGAGGATCGCTTGAAGATAGGACTTCAAGACAATCTACCTGGACAACAGAGCGAGACCCTGACTCTACAGAAAAAGTGAAAATATTGTCTGGTGTCGTGGTGCGCACCTGTAATCCCAGCTACTCAGAGGCTGAGGCGGGAGGATCGCTCGAGCCCGGGAGTTTGAGGCTGTAGTGAGCTATGATCGTGCCGCTGCATTCTGACCTGGGCAGCAAACAAAGACTCTGTCTCCAAAAGAAGAAAAAAACAAAACCAACCCGACCAAAACCACCCAAACCAGATGTTTCCAAGTGTGGATTTCATCTGAAAAAACAAACTTAGTCTTGAAAACTTGTTATGCGTTGTGAAGTACCAAAATGGCACCTCAAATATATGTAAATGTTTCACACAGACTTCTGTGTGAAAATAGTTTTAATGAGCTTGAAGTGTGTTCACCCGGTTTGAATAACAGAGTCAGCCTGCGTGTTCACCCTCGGTGGCAGCTGGCGAAGCCCGGCGGGTCCTGGAAAGGGCCTGTTGGCTTGATGGCGTCAGCTGTAGATGGCATCGCTGCACTGACTGATGTTTTCTGAAGAAGAGCTTTTAATTGTTTCCCAAAGAGAAACATTTACAGAGGGATCATTCTTTTCCTTTTTTTTTTCATCTACTGAGTTGAAGTCTTTTTTTTAAATTAAATTTTATTTTAAGTTCTGGAAGACGTGTGCAGGATGTGTGTTTGTTTCATAGGTAAATGTGTCCACGGTGGTTTGCTGCAAAGACCAACCCATCACCTGGGCATTAATCCCCATATTCCTTAGCTGCTTGTCCTGATGTCCTTCCTCCCCCCACCCCCTGACAGGCCCGAGTGTGTGAGCTCCCCTCCCTGTGTCCGTGTGTTCTCATTGTTCAGCTCCCACTTAGAAGTGAGAACACGTGGCATTTGGTTTTCTGTTTCTGTGTTAGTTTGCTGAGGACAGTGGCTTCCAGATCCACCCATGTTCCTGCAGAGGACATGCTCTCATCCCTTTTTATGGCTGCATAGTATTCCACGGTGTATATGTACCACGTTTTTTCAATCCAGTCTATCATCAATGGACATCTGGGTCGATTCCATGTCTTGCCATCGTGAATAGTGCTGCAATGACCGTGTGCATGCGTCTTTGTAGTAGACCGATGTTTATTCCTTTTGGCGCATACCCAGTAATGGGATTGCTGGGTCAAACTGAAGAGTGTTATTGTCTAAGTTGAGTGTGAGCTTCAGTGGGGTGGGGCTACACAGAGCAAAGTGTGGAGGCTGCTGGTACCTTGAGAAAGCGTGTAAATGCTTTTCTCCTTCCTTGTTGAATTTACAGCGTCTGGTGCATGCATGTAAGACGGAACGCCCGCTGGAGGCTGCTGGAGGCACACCAAAGGGAAAGATGAAAGACTGTAAACAAAAGGCTGGCCTGCACCTCCAGTGCCCTCTGCTTCGCAGGAAAGCTGAGCAATACAGATGGGTGTGGGTCACGCCCCACGTTACCAGGACCCCTGACGTCCCCACCACATGGGGGTGGTTGGGAGGGAACATTACATGATTGACTTACATAAAATGCTGGAGCGCTCTGCAGGGGGCCTGGTGAGCTTGCTGGAACTGGGGGAAAATGTTCAGCTGTTTCCAGAGAACCACTGGGTGCATCCAGGGTTCTGTCATGACTCAGCGTATCACATAGTTGGCAAGCCTCAGCTGTGGGCCCGTGACTGGCCTGGCACTGTGTGATTTTGTGTGCAGTGGAGGACGACGATGAAGAGGTGTGTGCAGGGGGAGCCCAGGGACTTGGCGAGGAGACCCATGGGACACAGCCAGGCTGCTGAGTCTCTAACCTGCCCATGCGACAGCCTCCCCACAGCACTCAGCCAGGGATGCAGCAAACAGGACACGGCTCGGTCAGCGTCGCGCCACGAGCTCTGTGAAGAAGCGAGTTTAATTCTAGCCACTCTGTAGGTTGTGTGTCTGTGTGGTGGTTTGGCGCTGTTTTATTATTTTATTTTATTATATATATATACTTTTATTAGCGCTGTTTTAAATTCCGCATTGCATGGTGGGATGACTGCTGGGTGAGTTCTGCACTGTAATCTTTTTAGAGATTTTCCAGCACAGTAAAGTTCTCTTCATGACAGGCCTGTTCCACACCTGTGCTGCTCAGCAGGGAGGCTGCTGGTGCCCTGGGAGCACACGAAATGTGGCCAGAGCAAAGGAGGAACTCGATTTTGAGTTTCATTCAAGAAATTGAAGTTTAAATTTGCAAAATACCCAGGTGTGGTTAGTGACTTTCAGATTGGACAGTGTGGGTCCTGGCGAAGGCACCATCAGCCCCTGTGTTTCCTGGGGCCACTGGCCTCTGTGCCTGCACCCGAGGTCTCCCCTGCATGGCTGTCCGTCCTTCCCTGTCCAGCCTGGTATGGCATCCACTCTTAAAGGGAGGTTCTTGAGCCTCCAGAGCTGACTGAGTGTCTTCCGTCCCCTGCTACACCTCGAGGGTGCCTCTGTCACCGCATTCCCAGAGATGGTCACCACCCCATCTGTCCCCTCCACTGCACCACAAGCTGCTGAAGGGCAAGTGCATGGCTAGCCCTGGGCACGGTGCCTGTGTCTCCAGGAGCTCTGCTCACAGTGTTGAGTGAAGGAGCACAGGACCAGGTGGAGCCTGTTTGGCCAACACTCCCACGACACTCATCCTGCTCCAGTGCTCTTCTAGAGGCTTCCCGGTGTCGCTCACGTTTGGACACATCGTGGCTGGCCATGTGGTTCACTTGCAGCTGTGGGCTTCAACAATTTACTTGATCTCTCAAAGATGTGTTCCCTTTCACTTGTAGGATGTGAATAATACCAAAATTGCAGGTTGTTCTGATGATTAAAATGAGAGAAACTGTATGAACAGGGCCTGACACTCTGTGAGCTCACGGTCACTGTTAGGGGATTCACTAGGGACCGGCCAGTGAACCAGAAAAGACTCACTGCTGGCATGGAGCGTGCATCTGATCAGGAAAGACAGATAATAAATGCTGCACACATGCGTACTCACATGATGTGGGCACTAAGGCCGGCCAGGTAGGGGTGTTGGGTTGCCTGGGGGTGGGGCTGACCTATAAGGAGGTCAGGGCAGTGTTGCTGAGGAGGTGATTCTCAGGTGAAATCTTGGACGGGGGCATGGAGCAGACACAGCCGTGTGGGAAGGAGCATTCCCAGCAGTGGGAACCACCTCTGCAAAGTCACAGAGGCAGGACAGAGGGGAAAGGGCCCTGGGTGAGGGGTGCTTATGGCGGAGGTAAGGAGAGCAGCTTTCATTCCGAGTGAACCGGGAACCCTTGCAGGGCTGGCAACAAGCTGACTTTTGTTTTTGGAAACTTGCTCTGGGGCTGGGCGAAGAACGGCCTATAGACAGGCATGGGCACATGTGTTGGGGATATTTTATTTCCCAGGAGACAGATGGTGCCAGTGTCTCTCCCCTCTCTCCCGCTCCACCCCTGTGAGTATGTAATGTGCATAATGTATATGACTTTTTTTTTTTTTTTGAGAAAGAGTCTTGGTCTGTCGCCCAGGCTGGAGCGCAGTGATGCAATCTCAGCTCACTGCAACCCTCCCGGCTTCAAGCGATTCTCTGGCCTTAGCCTCTCAAATAGCTGGGATGATAGGCACCTGCCACCATGCCTGGCTAATTTTTGTATTTTTTTTAGTAGAGATGAGATTTCACCATATTGGCCAGGCTGGTCTTGAACTCTTGACCTCAGGTGATCTGCCCACCTCAGCCTCCCAGTGTTGGGATTACAGACGTGAGCCACTGTGCCCGGCCATGTGTATGAATTTGATTGTGAAAGGTTTCAAACATACCCCAGATGGATAAAAATATCAGATGGTCCCTGAGTGTTTCCACTGTCCAGTGGTAACAATAGTCACCAGCACACAGCCCGTCTTACTTCACTTTGGCCTCATACACTTCCTTCCTTCTCAGACTGTTTAGAACATAATTCTGGCTGGGCACAGTGGCTCATGCCTGTAATCTTGGGAGGGCACGGTGTGTGGATCACTGAGGTCAGGAGTTTGAGAGCAGCCTGGCCAACATGGTGAAACCCCATCTCTACTAAAAATACAAAAATTAGCCAGGTGTGGTGGTGGGTGCATGTAATTCCAGCTACTCAGGTGGCTGAGGCAGGAGAATTGCTTGAACCAGGGAGGTGGAGGTTGCAGTGAGCCAAGATTGCACCACTGCACTCCAGCCTGGGTGACAGAGGGAAACTCCATCTGAAAAAAAAAAAAAAGATAATTCCACATTCTGGGTCCAATGGGCAGACGGACAGGATCCTGCACAGACTGTGGGTGTGAGGAAGGGATCTGAAGATGCCACCAAGGCTTTTGCCGCAGGGACCGGGAGGATGGGGCTGCTCCTCCCCGAGGTGGGAGGCTGTGGTGAGGCAGGCTGCGGGAGAGCCAGAGCTGAGGCCTGGACTGTCGGCTTTGAGATTCGGTTCAAATCCAAGGGGGACGGTTTTGAGTCGGCAGATGGAAATTCATGTGAGGAAGGCGCTATGCGTTTGGGATAATTGGAGAGCAGGTGATCTTAGGAGCCACGAGTCTGGTTGACATTACCAGGGGATAAGGGCACATGAGGAGGAGACTCCAGTGAGCCCAGGGGCGTCAGCACCAAGACTCAGGGAAGAACCAGTGAAGCAGGATGGCAGGAGCGCCTTCCCACCTGCAGGTGTGACCGAGTCACCCTGGAGGGGCTGTTCCCATTCAGGTTCCTGACCATGGACTACGGAAGCAGCTGTTTGCTTTAAAAAAGTGTCCGTTTCATAGGCAAAATGGTATTTCATCATTAATTATATTCCTGGGATTTCAAGGAAGAGCTGACTTCTCATGCATGGGCTGTTTGTATTCCTTCCTTTGTGAATGAACGTAGCTCTTAGGAAGATGTTTTTGTGTAGTTTTCTCTTTCACCATGAGGGATACACCATGGAATATTATGCAGCAATCAGAAATGATGAGTTTGTGTCGTTTGTAGGGACATGGATGAATCTGGAAAACATCATCCTCAGCAAACTGACACAAGAACAGAAAATGAAACACCGCATATCCTCACTCATAGGTGGGTGATGAAAAATGAGAACACATGGACACAGAAAGGGGAGTACTAAACACTGGGGTCTATTGGGGGGAAAAGGGGAGGGCCAGCGGGAGGGGGAGGTGGGGAGGGATAGCCTGGGGAGAAATGCCAAATGTGGGTGAAGGGGAGAAGAAAAGCAAAGCACACTGCCATGTGTGTACCTACGCAACTGTCTTGCATGCTCTGCTCATGTACCCCCAAACCTAAAATCCAATAAAAAATTAAAAAAAAAAGAAAAAAAGGCTCAGAACAAAGACCACCTCTTGACTTCGGGGCAGGGAGGCCCTGGGGCCAGTGCCACTCTCCCTGCTGCCCTCAGGGTCTCTTCCCAGTTCTCCAAGGCTCTGCTTTCTCAGCCTCACCACGAGGGTGCTGGAGTTGGGCTAAGTTCTGTGTTAGGACCTGCCATGGAGCGCACGGCCCTGAGTCCGCCTGGCTGGAGACATCTCTGTGGCTTAGTCTCTGCTGGCTCCAGAGCATGGCCCAGCCTGCCTGTCAGTGGACTTCTGTTCCCACGTGGGGTGCTCTTCTGAGCGAGTGGGCTCTGCTGTTCCCCACACCTAGCTGGGGCCTACCACCCAGGGTCTCAATATGTGTGTTTTGAATTGTTTCAAAGAGTATTAAAAGCAAGTTATTTTCTAAATGGAAATAATTTCTCCCTTTTAAACAGTAAAAGAAGACTTTGCATTTTACGGTGATTGGGTTTGTACAGTGATATTTTAGTCTTAAATACTTTAGAAGGAAGCCGTGCTGTAATTCCTTTCCCGTTTCAGTGTGTTTAAGCAAAGTCCCTTACTGGTTCAGCCTCATCGAGCAGAGGGCACCTATCAGGTCCAGTTGAACATCTCAAACCTTGGCATGAGGAGCCTGGATGAGGCCTCACTCCCTCCCACAGCCTTGAGGTTGACTGAGCTACCATCTCCCTTCCAGGACACATGGCTGATACTCCAAAGGAGGGAAGATTGACCCGATTTCTGGACTTCACCCAGCTGATAGACATGGCATCTGAATCCGTAGGAGGAAAAGTATGTGGGTCTCTCATGGCTAGAACAAGTGTATAACGCATCTATGCTAAGGATGCAACTCACCAGTGCAGAGACCCTCATGCAAGGATCAGTAGGAACTGGGCTTAAGGGATGGCCCGTCTGAGGAAGCCAGTGAGCAAGAAAGACTTCCAAAGAATTTATCTTAAACTGGTGATAATTCTCAGCAAGAACAACACTGCCTTAGGTTCTGTGTCTTTTACTAGAGGACAAACTGTGGTCCTCTGTTGTAGGTAGGCCAGCGGTCCTCTAGCTGTCGTTAGATCGGAAGTCCTCTAGCTCTTAGATCGCAGGTCCTCTAGCCCTAGTTGGATCGGATTTTCTCTAGCTCTAATTAGATTGGAGGTCCTCTAGCTGTAGTTAGATTGAAGTTTCTCTATCTCTAGTTAGATCTGAGTTTCTCTATCTCTAGTTAGATCTGAGTTCCTCTAGCTCCAGTTAGATCAGTTTCTCTAGCTCTGACTAGTCTAGCAGTCCTCTGACTCTAGTGTGTAATGAGGGTCACCTGGATAATTCATTAAACATATTGTACATAGATGCTGGAGTGCAGGCTGTGCTCAGAAACACTCTGGCACAGAAAGGGAAGACCCTGTGCTTGTCCCCTGGAAGCTTACACTCTAGTAGGAGACAGATATAAGTTCAGATCAGTGCTGTGACTAGCATAAGGCCAGGGTGCTCGGAGAGCAGGTAGACTTCAGCTGTGGGCAGGCCTGGGGTGGGGGTTGGGGTGGGAGGGATGGGGAAGGACCACCCGTGTGCTGCTGGAGGTGGCTTGCTGGAGAGCAGCTGTTGGGCAGCACAAGGCAGTTCAGGCAGAGGTGCCTGTGATGGGGAGCAAGGGAGCCCACATACTCCAGGGGGCTCAGTGCTTCAAGCACACATTGGGCATTTGTGGGGAGAGTTGGGAGCATGAGTCTGGAGAGGTAGGTGTGGCCCCATGTGCTCGCCGAAGGCTTCTGCTGAGGAGACACAGGGAAACACGGAGCAGGGTGGACCCTGTTATGTCCCCCTACCTGCCATTTGAACCCTGGCACAGGTCATCCCATGCATCAGGTCTCCTCTCGGCTCTGCCACCGAAAGAGCTGGCAGCTGCGAAACAGCTCGCTCTTCCTGCCTTTTGAACTCCTGGGCTGGAGACGGAGCCTGGGGCAGGGTGCTCTCCAGGCTGCAGCGGCTCCGAGTCCTGGGTTGGGTGGGGTGACCACAGCCTGTTTTGCTCGGGAAAATCTGGTTTACCTTGTTTTCTGGGTGTACAATGAGTAGCATCGACCTCGCTCTCAAAACAACCCTGCTTTGCTGGATGAATGACCAGGGCAGCCCGCCTGCAGGGTGACCTATGGTGGCCCTTGTGGAAAACACAGAGCCGCCAACCACCCGTGTGATCCAGAGCTTTTTATTCATTGCTCTGTTTGTAAAAGTACCACAAAACCTCTGGTTCATGAAAAAAGGAAAGTTGGTTTAATTGCTTCCCGAGTGTAAGAAGTTAGCGCTCTCACCTCCGGATGGTAGAGGGGATCAGAAGAAGGGTGGGAAGAGAAGACGGAGGAGGAGGCAGGCAGTGCTGTGGCACATTTAAAGGCATCGGGGTTTAACCGCAGCTGCGTCGCTTCCCCGAGGCGATTTCAAACTTTCTTTTACTTCATCTTATAATGTTTCACTAGAGAATAAAATAAAATGGTTTTGGATTTATGGTCACTTTTTCTTTCTTTCTTTGTCTAGATTTTCTTGCAGCAGATGACTTTTTTCCCCTGCAGAAAACCTCATGAAGGTATTGTAAATTGGCATTCTGCAATGTCAAGCTTGACGTAGAGAAATCTATGCAGCCATGCTAATTAAAATCTGCCTGTATATTTGAGATTACAGTCATGTGATATGCACCAACGAATTAGCATATTAGAACATTAGAAAGACGTGCAAATCGGCACGAACTCACAGCAAAACACAGCAGACACAGGAATCTGACCACAGAATTCGGGACTGTGTTTTTTTTTTTTTTTAAGACAGAATTTCGCTCTTGTTGCTCAGGCTGGAGTGCAATGGCGTGATCTCAGGTCACCGCAACCTCTGCCTCCCAGGCTCAAGCGATTCTCCTGCCTCAGCCTCCCAAGTAGTTGGGATTATAGGCAGGTGCCACCATGCCTGGCTAATTTTTTATACTTTTAGTAGAGACGGAGTTTCTCCATGTTGGTCAGGCTGGTCTTGAACTCCCAACCTCAGGTGATCTGCCGGCCTTGGCCTTCCAAAGTGCTGGGATTACAGGTGTGAGCCACCGCACCTGGCCCAGGACTGCATCGTTTCAATGGGAAAATACCAAAGTCCTCAAATACTGCTCTTCTGGCCAAGGTGAATTTCATAATCTGTGTTAGGGAGAAAACTGATCTACGTCTTGAGTTTTCTCGGAAATGTCTTACCTGCCTAATTATAAAAGTGCAGGACAGCTTATTAAACAAACAGAGAAAATGCTGACGAACACAGGAAGAAACGGTGGCTGTGCTGGGGTCCTACTCCTCTGTCACACCCAGTGTGGAGATGCGGGTTCTCGTGAGTGGAGAGACAAACACAGGTGCCTCCAGTGTGGGCAGCGGCTGTCTCGTCACCCTGGTGAGGTGGCTGCTGTCTATCTGGGCAGGACCTGGCTGGGTCCAGTGCAAGTTGAAGTTCGGCCCTGAGAGGGAGAAAGTGAAAATCAGATGAGGAAGGGAACCTAACTCGTTGTAGGTCGCTCAGTCACGAGAGGCCAAGGCGCTTACCATTTTACCACACGGCCTATCTTTGCAATACTTAAGTGCACGCATACCTTGACCTAGCTGTCCCGTGGATTCACATCGTTTGCACAGGTGGGCAGAAGCAGGTAGAAAATAAACATTCATTCTGATATTGTTTGGAGAGGAGATAATGAACGTAAAGGTTCATTGATAGGGAACTGGAGAGATGGCGGCTCTTCCAGACGTGGACGACTGTGTGGCTACTGGAATGAGTCGGGCCTGGCACCGTGGCTCACAACTGTCACCCCAGAACCTTGGGAGGCCAAGGCAGGAGGATCACTTGGGCCCAGGAATTTGGGCCCAGCCTGGACAACAAAGCAAGATCCCATTTCTAAAAATAAAAACAATGAGCCATAAAACAGTGGTTCGTGTCGTTTGTAGGGACATGGATGAATCTGGAAAACATCATCCTCAGCAAACTGACACAAGAACAGAAAATGAAACACCGCATATTCTCACTCATAGGTGGGTGATGAAAAATGAGAACACATGGCCACAGAAAGGGGAGTACTAAACACTGGGGTCTATTGGGGGAAAAGGGGAGGGCCAGTGGGAGGGGGAGGTGGGGAGGGATAGCCTGGGGAGAAATGCCAAATGTGGGTGAAGGGGAGAAGAAAAGCAAAGCACACTGCCACGTGTGTACCTACGCAACTGTCTTGCATGCTCTGCTCATGTACCCCAAAACCTATAATCCAATAAAAAATTAAAAAAAAATAAATAAATAAATACAAAAAAAAAAAAAAAAAAAAAAACAGTGGCTGTGTGTACTTGTAGTCCCAGCTACTAAGAAGGCTGAGCTGGGAGGATTGCTTGAGCGTAAGAGGTCAAGGCTGCACTGAGCCGTCGTCATGACACTGCGCTCCAGCCTGGGTGACAGAGCGAGACCCTTGTCTCAAAAAAAAAAAAAAAAAAAAAAAAAAAAAAAAAGGCAAGCTCTGCATTCACTGGCAACAAGAGAGATCCATGCATGTGTATTTTATGTGCATAAGACAGGGTTGGAAGGCACACACATCAAACAGTGAGACGTGATTACCTGTGAAGAGAGGTGGGCTTGGAAATAGAGCAGCAGAGAGACAGGGTGGGGCATTGTTTCTTATATTTTATACTTGAGCATACACAATATAACCACACACACATGTGTATATATAGTCACACCATAAAATCACATGAGAAATATATATAAATACGTATATACACATTTCTCCTTTTTGAAAAACGTAACATTACAGATAAATGTAAAGTTCACCTTTCACCTCCAACTTGAATGCCAATCCGCCCCCTCCATTCCCACCATTAACACTGTTGTAGGGTTGGAAAAAGTTTTAGTCAGTTGGGGCTGCTAAAAGAAAAGATGGTTGGTGGCTTACACACAGTGATTTCTTGAAGTTCTGGGGGCTGGGAATCTGAGACTGAGCCTGAAACAGCGGCAGCTCCAGCGTTTGGTGAGGCCACCTTGGGATGGCCGCCTGCTGGTGATACCCTCAGGTGACAGAGGAGAGAGAGGAAGAGGGCCATCTCCCGCCTCCTCCCGGATGGGCATTCATCTTGTCCCGGGGGCTCCACCCTCGTGACCTCATCGACTCCCAATGTCCTTACCTCTGAATCCCATCACTTTGGGGATTAGGTGCCAACATATGAATTTTGGCAGGAGACAAACATTCAGTCCATTACACAGAATTCTTCTAATGTATTTTATATACTTAAATATATATATATTCATAAATATGTAAGATGTTTTATATTTTAAAATTTATATACATATTATCACAAAGCATTTAACATTCTGTGCACTTTTTTTTGTGGGGTGGGGCTGGATCTCGCTCTGGTCAGGCTGTCAGGCTGGGGTGCAGTGGTGCGGTCATGGCCCGCTGCAGCCTCGACTTCCTGGGCTCAAGCCATCCTCCTGCCTTGCTGGGACTACAGGCATACACCACCATGTTTAGCTAATTTTTAAATTTTTTGTAGAGATGAGGTCTTGAGCTCCTGGGCTCAAGCAATCCTCCTGCCTCGGCCTCCCAAGTTGTTGGGATTACAGTTGTGAGCCACCGTGCCCCGCCCTAAACTTGCTTATCTCACTGCGTGTTTGTGAATCCCATCTGTGCTGATGCAGTGGGGCCAGGCCACCCTCTTGGCTGCCGAATAACAACTGTCCATGTTGTTGTGGCCCATTTTATGTCCTCCTCTCCCCGTTGATACACATTTAGGTTGATGACATTTTGCAAGTATTGCAAACAACCTGTGCAAGTGTGTGTGCACCTGTGTGGCTCTGCCTCTGAAATTGGTCCTTGGTTTTTCTCTCTTTTTAAGAACACGTCTGTTGGCCAGGCGCGGTGGCTTATGCCTGTAATCCCAGCACTTTAGGAGGCCGAGGCGGGCAGATCATGAGATCAAGAGATCTAGACCATCCTTGCCAACACGGTGAAACCCCGTCTCTACTAAAAATATAAAAAAATTAGCTGGGTGTGGTGGCACACGCCTGTGGTCCCAGCTTCTCGGGATGCTGAGGCGGAAGAATCGCTTGAATCCAGGAGGTGGAGGTTGCAGTGAGCCGAGATTGCGCCACTGCACTCCAGCCTGGTGACAGAGCAAGACTCCGTCTCAAAAACAAGAAGAAAACGTCTGTCATCACATGGTTTGCCAGCTTTATAGCAGCACCATTTTCCTGCCACTGGCTCAGCAGCGTGCATCTCCAATGTCCCTCACACTTCTCAGCCTCAGTCCGATCACAACAACTGCCAACCAAAACTAAACACAAAACGTTTGGGGCCTTGGAGGTCTGGGGTTTAAGTGTGAGGTGTACCTCCTCTTCTCCTTCGGGGTCCAGAACAGAGTTTTGCAATTCCAGAAGAATAATGGAAAGCCTGGAGTGTGCGCTATCTTTAAAATGTGATTTGATTATAACAACATTCAAAATACCATCAACTTTCATGTATAACGCTAAATACTTGGCACTTAAGTATTGGCCAGGCACATATAAGGCTGACCACAGCCACGGGAAGTAGATAGCACAATGGTTATTTGCATTTGACAGAGGAGGAACACTGAGACACAGGAGTGCGGGTACCACTGGCCACAGGTTCCCTGTCTGGGAGGCTGGGCTGGGTGGCACACCTGGGATCTGGTGGGGTCTCTGGTAAGCGTCACATGCAGCGGCTCCCATCAGAGGACCCCTCCACCCCGGGCCCGGCTACCTCTAGTCCCTTCCTCTGCTCCTGCTTGGGGAGCTCCTTCAGCAGGAATGTAAGATCCTCTTTGCACGACTTGATGGAAACAGGGAACGTATCCTCACGCTGGGCCACCTGCCAAGCGCGGCAACTTCTGAGCATCCACACCATCCATTCGAGGGTCTTTCATGTTGGTTATTTCAACTTCATGACACTCTGCAAGGATGTGTTTATTCTTTCTCCTCGATCTGGAAGGTGAAGAAGTGCGCTCAACTGTCTAAGGAGGCTTCGTGGGGCGTCGGAGCTCACGCATCTCCTCAGGGTTCGCAGAGTGTGCTGTGTGGGTTCATCTGGACCCCGAGTATCCAGCCTGCTCTTCCGACGACTTTGGAGGAATTCCTTATTGAATACTCTGCCTGGCCTGCTTGGAAATCTGACCAGCCTTGCTCACTTTAATACCATGTAGGTTGCTGTGGGGCCCACAGAGTGCCTGGTGATGTGGTTATACCGGCGGCGATCAGTGGTCAGTTTTGCGTGCTGAGGCCCACAAAGAAGTAACATTTCTTTCTCTGAAGATGATAAAAGCAGAGGCATCCCTCCATGTGGAAGGGGCTAGCTGGGCATGAAGGTGGTGGCAGAGGCTCCCCGAGACCCGTGCATGCACCATTCCTCTGGGCCTGTGGGACAGAAGTGGACATGTTGGAAACCAGGAGATCACATGAATGTTAATGATCAACTTGTTGTGTGTCTTTGCCCTAGAGTGACAGCCCGTGCTTTAAGGAACATGAATATACTGAGTTTGGGAAATGGATGGATAGCTGGGAGACCAGGAGAAAAAGGATTCCAGGTAATAACAGTGGCTCGTTCATTACAGTGCGTCTAACACCGCAAAGTTAAAAACTTGCTGTTGCAAAGCCAGTGTCCGTTTCGGGTCAGCTTTAACTTGGGGCCCTTGGAATGCTCTGTAATCTTGGATGTGCTTATCTGAACATCAGGCTGTGAGTCAGGAAGGGGTGGCGTGAGCCCGAGTCACTAATGTTCCACCGCCTGGAAAAGGGCGTGAGAAGCACTTTGTTGGGAAAATGAAAACGCTGGTGAGGTCTGCGGATAGAAAGAAGAGAGGATTTTTAACTGAGCAACGTGGCAGACATACCTCAGGCAGCAGGCACCTCGCGGGTCCTCACCAATGCCCTCCAGAGTAGGTCTCCTTAATCCTATTTAACTGCCATGGAGACAGATTCCTGGACTCAGCCCAGGGCACCCCGTTAGGAAGATAAGCTGGGAACTGGGCCAGGGTCTGTCCTTCACTGTACCTGCGGTCTTTCACTCTACTGTGAGACGTGATTTTATCATTGCTACTACTCAGTCTCAGTCAAAATAAACCTTTCAAATGTGAAGAAAAGCAAACGAATCCAGGCATTAGGTTGATAATTGAGTTTTTACTTGCTACTATCTCAAATATGACAGAGACATTCGATATTTCCAGTTTTCTAACTTTCTGTTTTTTCTCTCTCTCTTTTTTATTGTACTTTAGGTTCTGGGTACATGTGCAGATCATGCAAGGTGTTGCATAGGTGCATGTATAACCAGGTGGGTTGCTGCCTCCATTCCCCCTTCATCTATATCTGGCATTTCTCCCCATGTTATCCCTCCCCACCCTCCCCACCCCACACTGTCCCTCCCCTAGCGCCCTCCCACTGCACCCAGTGTGTGATGCTCCTCTCCCTGGGTCCACGTGTTCTCATTGTTCATCACCCACCTATGAGTGAGAACATGAGGTGTTTGATTTTCTGTTCTTGTGTCAGTTTGCTGAGAAAGATGGTCTCCAGGTTCATCCATGTCCCTACAAAGGACATGAATTCATCTTTTTTTATGGCTGCATAGTATTTAATGGTGTATATGTGCCACATATTCTTTGTCCAGTCTATCATTGATGGGCTTTTGGGTTGGTTCCAGGTCTTTGCTATTGTACACAGGGCTGCAATGAACATATGTGTGCATGTGTCTTTATAGTAGAACGATTTATAGTCCTTTGGGTATATGTTGGGTAATGGGATTCTGGGTCAAATGGAATTTCTATTTTTAGGTCCCTGAGGAATCTCCACACTGTCTTCCACAATGGTTGAACTAATTTACACCCCCACCAGCAGTGTAAAAGTGTTCCAATTTCTCCACATCCTCCTCAGCATCTGTTGTCTCCAGATTTTTTAATGATCACCATTCTAAGTGGCGTGAGATGGTATCTCAATGTGGTTTTGATTTCATTTCTCTGATGAACAGTGATGATGAGCATTTTTTCATGTTTATTGGCCTCATATATGTCCTCTTTTGAGAAGTGTCTGTTCATATTCTTCACCCACTTTTGAATGTGTTTGTTTGTTTCTGACTTTCTATAGTACTTGAGGCAGTATTAATTTCTAATCATTCTGGACATTTTAAGGTGGTTTTATATCCGGCAGAAAAACACCAAGAACTCCCTAGTGGCAGACCTGACTTCAAGACTCGGAAGGCTTTGGTGGACGCAGGCAGGGTGTCTGGCCCATGGTGGGCTGGGGGCTGGAGGGCACTGTGGCAACTCCTGAGCTTGAGATGACAGCAAACACTGTCTGCAGGAGAACCAGCTCTGCTTACTGCCTGCTGAGCGTGGCGAGGCGCTTTCTACATCACACCACTTAATCTAAGCTTTATGGAAGCTAATGTCAACTCTAATTTACATTTGTCTTGAGAAAAGGAGATTCTCAACTCTAAGAGGTAAATTTGCCAAGGACAGTCATAGGAAATGATCCATCTGGAACCAGAATCAGGTCTTCCTGAATCCCAGGCCAGTGCATTTTCTGGTCTGGCTTAAACTGAGGATTTCTGTTGGGGAATGGTGGTCACATGTGGCCAGATTATGAGAGATCCTGCAGTCATATTCACTAAGAACTACCCTAACAGGTTTTCCTGTGACGGACAGAAGTGGTCCCTGCTGTGGGCCAGGTGCGTGTGGGGTGCCTCACGTGCCGCATCTGCTGCATCGGCCCTAATGAGGCTGCTCTTGTCCTCTGCGTTGTACAGGTCACGACAGGTGCGTCCTCAGGCTGGGGATCCAAGGAGTCGTCTGGGGCTTCGACGTGGACGTTTCTTACTTCATGGGAGATTACGCTCCTCAAATGTCGATTCAAGCAGGAAACTTGGAAGAAGGTGACTTCGGAACCACGTCCCCCAAATGAGAATTATGGAGTCACATGGTTCCTCCGGCCAGCCACACCCCAACAACTGCTCACTTTCGATATGACCTAGACGGCTTCAGGAACTGGCCATGGCCTCTTTACTGTACCAGGGCTGTAGGACTAGGACTCCTAATAGAGGGCTCTGTGGTTTTTGATTTGTGGCTTAACAGCATTCTTTGGCCGGATATAGATTTTATCATTCCCACGGTCCTTAGGCCTCACACGGAGGCAGGCCGTCATCCCTGGGACGTGGGTGAGCAGGTTGCTGGGTGGGCAGAAGGGAGTGGGTTGTGCCTCAGATGACCTGGCTGATGTGGAGCCATGTCTGGGACAGCTGTGGGTGAGCAGCACCGGCCTTGCTTTGGGCTGTCCCAGTGCGTGTGACGGGGCAGCTGCTATGGCATTTTTCATAAGGTTTCCTATCTGCATCTTGGATTGCTGGGCATATGAATCCCGCAGGCTCTATAAATAAGACCTATTCTGTGAAAGGGCCACATGCACAGAGCAGACCTCAGGTGCCAAAGAAGCCAAGAAACCACAGAAAGAAAGAGGCCGGCAAATCCAGTGTGTTGGTAATGGGTGTTTTACTGGGGGGACTTACAGACAGAAGCATGAGAGGGCTATGTCTCTGCACTGTTACTCCCCAGATCCAGGGCTCACACGCTATAGGGAAAGTGTCTGTGTGCTCCAGCAGGACAATTGAAGGCAGCCTCCAGGATGGGAAGAGCGCTGTGTGCGTCATAGCCTCCGACTTGTGCAGTAACATCAAAGTGCACATGTTCTAGACTAAGGACAGTGAATCAAGTTGGAATCATACTGACAGGATTGACTTAATCAGACATCAACATGGCAGGTCGCATCCAAGATGGAGTCACTTTGTCTCCACAGACCTGTATTTTGATTTCTCTAACAGCTATCTGATGTTGACTTTAGCTTTAATTTTTGAAAAACATGGGGAGCTATGTGTGTTTATACATGTACTTAGGGAAGCTAAGTCAGTGTTGGTTGGCAAGTTTATACTGAATGTGCAGTGCACACAGTACGGCACGAGGCTGTGGACATGAACGGGCGCTGATCCCCGAAAATGGCTGGGGCACCTGAACAGTAAATGATGCTGTGAGGCATGTTACTCTAAAAGCAAAAAATGACCAGCGACAAACGAGTAAGCTTGTTTTGGCAAGCCCCTCAATCGTCCATGAGTGCCTCTATTTCTGAATTGCCCAGTTATGAATTCTAAGGAGGCACTGGGAGAGTTGGTATTTCTGGAATTGCCTTTGTAATTGTCCAACTTTGAAAACTCTAGTGATGTGATAAACTTGTTGAAGTTTGCGCTAACTTGGAGATGACATTTACTATTTGAAAGCGAAGGTAGTATCAAACATACTGCACTACTTTTTGAAATGACTGCGTTAATATATCAAATATTGAGGAACTTCAACACGTGCGTCTATTGCTGGGATCATTTCATACTTCGAAATATCTTCAGTGTTATTTGCAAAGTGAGAATTACCATACAACCCACAAAGAGAGTAGATTCTCTTTGATTTTGAACCCTAACCTTAATCCTGAATGGTCAATCTGACTATAGATAAACTACCAGAAATTCCGTAAAGAGGAATCAGGACCGGAGCCGCAGCCACACCCGAGGAGTTTGAAGCCACTGCCGAGGTACCTCTCACCCAAATGAATTGGGTCTTGTCACCAACTGTTAGGACAGTAGGGAAACTGCTCTGCACACCTGGCTGTGCAAGGTGACACCCCACCCTGGTGCTCCCCACATCGTTTGCTTACCCACTGTGGTCTTACAAACGTCTCAGTGGTTCATTCAACCCGGGAAGAGTAAGCACCATGGCCCATTAGGGACATGGAGCCCTGCTTCTCAAAGAGTCCCACCAGCACCCACATGCAAATGGCTGCTGGCCCTGATGAACACACATATGGAAACACAGTAAGCATTTAAACACTTCTTAGAGCAATTGATGAAGTAACTTTTCTGTGTGATGACTTTAATAAAAGAAACAGTTGAAAAAAACAGGGCTTGTGTTTTGGTACATTCTTTTTTTTTTTTTAAGTTTATTTAATAATTAATTTGTATTTTTTTTACAGAAATGTTGATCCATAACAGACAGGAAAGTAACTAACAGCAGCAGTAAACAGGGCCTCTGATTTGAGAAGTGCTGACCTAGAGAAAATCATTGCAAGGCTCAGCCAACAGATTTCCCCAGATGTCAGGGTGCACAGCAATAGCCTTGGTTTCTATTTGAATATTCATGTCGCTACTCCTCAAGGTGAAGACTTTAGGAGGGGTCTGAGGTCTTGTCCTTCATTTGCAAGCCTCTGCCACCTTCACCAACTGGCTATTTTCATCAGTGTGAAAACAGAATAGGCTTTTATTCTGTTTATTATTAAACATGGGCTTGATGTGTGCTGTTTTCATTAAAGTGTTTCAGTAGGTATTCATCGTTAATTTTTTTTCAAGGTATCTCTGCCCCTTAAGTCCCACAGAGGCAACAGGATGACAGAATTTATTGTTTTCAAGAGCAGTTGCTGACCTTTCTATATTTATTTCTAGCTAAAATCCGATGACTAGAGTTACTTGGTTCCCATGACAGAGCTTAAGCCAGGAAACCCTGCTTCCGGCTACAACAATTTTCTTGTCAATTCCCAGCAGAGATGGACTCATATCAGACTCAACATTTTCCTAGGTAAATGTGAGAGGAACTTATCTCCAGTTCCACGGCTTCTTTATTTTATGTTGATATGTTTATAAAATAGGAAATGGATTGCTCTTTCCTTCTCGGTGATTTATCTCTCTAGCATTTCAGGATTGTAATTTGCCCTTTTTATGTTCCGGAAAGTTCTTGTTTTAATCCACCCATCACTAGGCGGTTATTGAAAAATTATCATGCAAATTAGGATGTGGTGGAACTAAGTTGTATTAGGTTAGATAGATCCTAACTAGATTTCAGAAGTATGTTACATTAGCAGCTGAAGTGGTGTGTGGGGGTACGTGGAAATGACTCATCTTATTTTTAATAGCTTTATTGTGATATAATTAAGATGCAGTTCACCCATTTGAAGTGTACAATCAGTGATTATAGTATATGCATAGACAAGTACAACCATCACCATAACTTTAGAACATTTTTATCGCCTCAAAAACAAACCCCTTACCCTTCAGCTCTCACCCCTCATCTCCCCTCTCCTGAAGCAACCACTAATCTACTTTCTGTCTTGATAGTTTTGACTATTTTGGACATTTCATATAAATGGGAATTATATAACACTGCTCTTTTGTGTCTGACTTCTTCCATTTAGTATAATGTTTTCAAGATTCGTCCACGTCGTAGTGTGTATTAATACTTCATTTCTTTTTGTGTAAAACTAATATTCCATGTATGGATATACAGGTTGAGCATCTCAAATCTGAAAGCCCAAAATTTAAAATGTTCCAAAATCTAAAACTTTTTGAGTGCTGACATGGTAAAGGAAATGCTCACTGAAGGATTTCAGATTTCAGATTTAGGATGTTCTACCTGTAAGTATAATGCAAGTGCTAAAAAATCCTGAAATCCAAACACTCTGGTCTCCAGCATTTCAGAAAAGGGGTACTCAGTCGCCACCACACTTTGTTTCATTCATCAGTTGACGGACACTTGTTTGTGTCTGTTGGCTACTTTGAATTATGCTGGTGTAAACATTTGTGTACAAGATTTTGTGTGGACATACGCTTTCATTTGTCGAGTATATGCCTAAAGTTGGAATTTCCGGGTCATGTGATAGCTCTGTGTTTAACTGTTTGAAGAATGACTAGGCTTTTCCAAAAGCACTGCACCGTTTTACGTTCTTACCACCCACGTGAGGGAGTGCTGATTTCTCCCAGTCTTTCCCAACACTTGCTCTCTTACCTTTCCCTTGCATAATTGCTCCAGCCAGGACTTCCAATATTATGTTAATAAAAGTGGTGAAAGTGGGCATCCTTGTCTTGTTCCAGATCTTAGAGAAAAGGCTTTCATTTTTTTGTCCATTCAGTATGATGTTACTTGTGGGTTTATCATATGTGTTATATGTGGTTTTTGTTATTTTGTACGCTTTTTTCTATACTCAGTTTATTGAGGTTTTTTTTTTTTTTTTTCCAGCACGAAGTCATGTTGAATTTATCAAGTGCTTTCCAGCAGCTATGGAAATGATCATATGGTTTTTGTTCTTGGTTCAGTTAGTGATGTGTCATGTTTATTGATTGATGTATGTTGAGCCATCCTTGCCTTCCTGGAATGAATTTCACTTGATCATGGTGAATGATCTGTTTATTGTGTTGTTAAAATCAGTTTGCTGGTGTTTTATTGAGGATTTTTACATCTATGTCCATCAGGTCTATTAACCTGTAGTTTTCCTTTTTTTGTTGTGTCTTTCTCTGGTTTTGGTGTCAGGGTAATACTGGCCTTGTAGAATGAGTTTGGAAGTCTTCTTTCTGCTTCAGTTTTCTTGAAGGGTTTGAGTAAAATTTGCATTAGTCATTTCTTTTATGTTTGGTAGAATTCTACAATGAAGCCATAGGTTCTGGAATTTTCTTTGATGTGAGACTTGAAATTTCAGCTTTGATCTCATCACTAACGGTTTATTAAGGTTTTCTGTTTCTTCATGGTTCAATCTTCATAGATTGTATGTGTTCAGAAGCACATCCATTTCGTCTAGGTTTTCCAATTTGTTGGTTTGTAGGTGTTTATAATAAACTCTAATTAGTCTTTGTAATTCTGTGGTCACATTTCCTTCTGACTGAGCACAGTGGGCTTTACTGATGGTGCAAGACAGGGTGTGGCTCTCTAGACTCCTCTCTCTTTAGGGGGTCTGGCATGGAAACTGTGTCAGGGGGAGATTCTCAGTAATGCGGGAGACTGCGTGTGGTAGGGACTCCATAGCAGCAGAGAACCTCTCTCATCCTCTTGCGTTCTTGCTGGGGCTGTTGGTCCAGGGGCTCTTACTCTTTGTAGGCCATGTGAACCATGAGGTCCACTACCCTGTTGCTCTAGCCAAATTCATTGCCATACCGGAAATGAGCTTGACAAAGTGGAAGTTGAGGGCAATACCAGCCCCAGCATCAAAGCTGAAAAAGTGCATTCTGTTAAAGTCAGAGGATACGACGTGGCACTCACTGTAGCCCAGGATGCCCTTGAGGGGTCCCTTCAATGCCTGCTTGCTTCACCACCGTTTTGATGGTACCCTATTTGTCAGGCTTCTCCAGATGGCAGGTCACGTCCAAAATGACATGGAGGTGAGGATCTGGAGCACCATGCTACCGAACTTTCCATTCAGCTTGGGGATGACTTTTCCAACAGCTTTTGCATTGCCAGTAGATGCAGAGATGATGTTCTGTAGAGCCCTGTGGCCATCCTGCCAATGTTCCCAAGAAAAGGCACCCACGATCTTCTGGGTGGTAGTGATGGCATGAGCTGTGGTCATGAGTCCCTCCATGATGCCAAAGTTGTCATGGATGACCTTGGACAGGAGGGCTAAATGGTGGGTGGTGTAGGAGGCATTGCTAGTGATCTTGAGGCTGTTTTCATACTTCTCATGATTCACACCCCACATAAACATAAGGGGCACCAGAAGAGGAGGCAGAGATGATGGCTCTTTTGGCTTACCCCTCTGAGACCCAGTCTTCTCCATGGTAATGGACATTCTAAGGGACTCAACAATATAATCGGCATTGGTGTCATTTCATTTGCTTTTGGGGGGGTCTTGCTACTGGAAGATAATGATGGGATTTCCATTGATGTCAGGCTTCCCATTCTGAGCCCTGACGACGTTGTGGAACTTGCCATGGGTGGAAGCATACTGGAACATGTAGACCAGGTAGTCGAGGTCAAGGAAGGCATCAACGTTGATGACAATATCCATTTCGCCAGAGCTAAGAGCAGCCTTTGTGGCCAGGCGCTCCGTATGGCCAGTTTTGTTTACCTTGCCTTCATTTTGGTGTCTAAGGGACATAGCTGGCACTGCGTATGAAAATGTAGGTGTCTATCAAATGGAAAAAGAGAAGAGAGCCATCTCATTTTTTATGTATCCATTTCTATTTTTGATTTTTTTGGGTCTTTTCTCTTTGTAATTAGTCTAGCTAAAGGTTCGTCATTCTCAGCAAACTGACACAAGAACAGAAAATGAAATACCGCATTTCTTACTCATAGGCGGGTGGATAAACAATAAGAACACATGAACACAGGGAAGGGGGAACACGCTGGGGTCTATTGGGGGGAATAGGGGAGGGACAGCGGGGGGGGGAGCTGGGGAGGGATAGCATGGGGAGAAATGCCAAATGAGGGTGAAGGGGAGGAAGACAGCAAAGCACACTGCCACGTGTGTACCTATGCAACTATCTTGCACGTTCTGCACATGGACCCCAAAACCTAAAATGCAATTAAAAAAAGGGGAAAAGAAGGGAAAAAAAAGGTTCATCACTTTTGTTTCTTTTCAAAAAAGCAACTTTTTTTGTTTTGTTGATCCTCTGTATTATTTTAGTCACCATTTCATTTATTTATCCTCTGATCTTTATTTTTTTCCTGCTACTAATTTTGGGTTTGGTTTATACTTGCTCTTCTAGTCTTTTGAGATGCATTGTTAGATTAATTTGAGGTGTCTTTACTTCTTTGATCTAGGTATTTACTGCTACAGACTTCCTCCTAGTACTGCATTGGTTGTATCACGTTTATCTTTGTATGTTGTATTTCCATTCTCATTTGTTTCAAGCACTTTTAAAATTTCCTTAATTATTGGCCCATCTGTTGTTCAGAAACATGTTTAATTTCCATGTGTTTGTGTGTTTTCCAAGGTTCCTCTTATTATTGATTACTGGTTTTATTCCACTGGAGTCAGAAAAGATACTTGATATGATTCTACTTTTTTGAATTTGTTTAGACTTGTTTCATGGCCCAAGACTTGGTCTATTCTAGGGAATATTCCATGTACGGATGAGAAGAATGTGTATTCTGCAGCAGTTGGGTAAAATGTTCTGCAATGTCAGTTAGGTCCGTTAGATCCAGTGGGTAGTTTAACTTTACTATTTCTTTGTTGATTTCCTGCCTGGACTATTTGTCTATTACTGAAAGTAAGGTGTGGAAGTCCCCTATTATTATTGTATTGTAGTCTCATTATCCAGTTAGATCTATTAATGTTTGCTTTACACACTTGAAAGCTCTGGTGTTGGACACATAGATATTCATAATTGTTATATCCTCTTGCTGAATTAAACCCATTTATCATTATACAGTGTCTTGTCTTTTTTTTTTTTAACAGTCTTTGATTTGTAGTATCTGATAAAAGTGTAGCTACTCCCATTCTCTTTTGATCTCTGGTTGCATGAGATATATTTTTCTATCCCTTCACAGCAGCCTACTTGTGTCTTTATAGATCAAATGGGTTTCTTGTAGGCAGTATATAGTTGGGTCTTGTTTCTCAGTCTATTAAGCAACAGTATGCTTTTATTGGGAATTTTGAGTCTATTTACATCAAGTATTGTCATGAAATGAGAGCTTACTGTCATTTTGTTGCTTTTTTTCTGGTTGTTATGTAACTTTCTTTTCTTTTTCTTTCTTTCTGCCTTAGTGGTTAACTAATTTTTTCTGATAGTATGTTTTAATTGATTTTTATTTTTAGTGAATCTATTATAGGTTGTTGCATCGTGGTTACCATGAGGCTTACAAAAACATCT